GGGCAGCGGCGGCGGCCGACTTGGAGGAGGGGTCGGGCGGTGGTGGCGGGGCGCGCTCGGACTCCTCCGGAGTCCGGCGGCTGCGCGGCACGGGGAGGCGATGGCGGCCTGCTGGGCCAAGGCCTGGCTCGGCTGGGCCGGCCCAGAAACTTTTTTTTAAAATAAATTTCGCCGCGGAAGAAAAATCCTAATAAAATAAAAGAAAAATTCTAAAAATACCATAAATAATTTTCACCGTCCAAACTAAATACTTAGGACAAGATGAACATTTTTCTGGACTAAAATGCAATTTTCCAAAATGCATGTTTTCTCTAATTCAAATAAAATCGCAAATAAAATACGAATAAAATATTAATTTGATTTTAAAATTTCTTCTCCAATATTTATCTTCTGTTGAAGAAGTCATTTTATCTTCTCTCATTTATTTTTGTTATTGGAAATTATTGGAGAGAAAAATATAAAAATCAAATTGATCCTCTTTTCAAATTTGAAAATAAATTCAAATAGGAAAATTTGTGAAACCTCCAACTCTCTCCTTGGGTACTTGAATTGCTTAAGATTTCTAGGATCACAGCCAAATGCAAATAAAAATATGATATGCATGATGATCTATGTATAATTTCCAAATTGAAAATTGGGATGTTACAATTATCTTATTCAATCTCACAAAAAATTAACTCGAAAGGAAAGTCATTCAAGGCGATTGTCTATAGTTGATAGTAAGCAAGTAACACCAAAATATGCAAATAAAATCACTATTGCTTATTCATGGATCAATGCTTTCAATGAATGTTCATCAACGCCTTTAGGTATAGAAAGAAGTGTCAAGTGTATCATGAAAGAATAGTATGCTAAGTTTTCATAGCATGAAAGCATAGTATGCATAGTATCATAAATCGAATGGACTGTCGGTCAAGCAAATCAATCACATAACCTCCTATTTCAACCAATCAATAACTTATGCAATACTTGAGTGCTAGCCTTGATTTTGCACTTGATGGAAAAGAGAGTGATGAATGGGGTTTACGAGAAGTAAAAAGGTGGAATAAATTCTCACACCAACCAGGTTGATCATTAGGTAATGCAGAGGCCTTATAATTGATGTTGGTGCGAGGAGTAGGGATTGTGATGGAACGGATGCACTAGAGCTATGAATGTATGAAAGCTCTCCAAATGAACTAAGGGTGTGCATCCAACTTGCTTGCTCCGGGGGACCTAGAGCATTCAAGCCAGATTCTATAATGTGAAAATTCCTAATTTGTATATGAACGTGAAGCATATGAAAACTCTCTATATGAAATGCAATGCTCCACTTGAAAGCACATATGTATGAAAAAGGGATAGTCATGTGCCCCCTCTCTTCTCTATCTATCTATATCTCTCCCTCCCTCCCTCCCTCTCTCTTCCTCTCTCTTTTAGTGGCCTCCATGGCTCTTTCTCTCTCTTTTATCTGTGGCCTCCATGGCTCTTGTTTTTATATCCCCACTAGTAGGGGAAATACTATAATGAAGACTAATACAATAATTGTACTCATAACTCAATGATAAACAAAAAACATCTAATGCATGATGACAACAAACATCTTTAATCATGTGATAAAAAATTAGCCCACCCCACTCTGCAGACATGTTTAATGCCTCACGGTCTCAAACTGGTCCATGCTAGTCTGGTGCTTACATGCGCGTTGCGCCCCAATCGCCTTGCTGGCTGATCATGGGCCAAAATGGATGCCTAGTGACTAGTTGCACATGGACACCAGTAAGGGCGCATCTAGTAGCCTGCAGATTGCTCATCTAGGCCCATGTGGTGCAGTTTTCGCCTGTTTGGTTGTTTGGGTTGCACTGATTTTCAACCCGCATAAACCTTATAGTGGGCCCTAGCCAGGCTAAGGGGGAACGACCGAATCAACCATTTTTTCCAGAGCCACGTGTGCCTCTCACCTACACGTGTTCAGAAGTATACGATACGAGGGGACATCTCATAACTCCCTCACCTCTCTCCCTTCACCCTCACTCAGCATTCACACCACACTACCTCACTCTCACCATCTCTATAGTTTCTACAATGGTTGAGCATCAACCGTGTCGCCCCTCTCCACCCCCTCCGGTGGCAACCCAATCCAAGACATGTGGCTGGTCGGCGTCACCAGGCTGGGCATTGACATGCCCACGCCTATCAGAGCATCGTCCCCCATTTACACCAAGCTGCGGTATGCGACCACTGACCCACTGTCGGTGTTCATGCTGGTCGGTGCAGTCGCGAGCAGTTCATCCGTTCCAGCAGCGGAGGGTAGTACATCGATTCTGGCGGCAGCTATGGGAGGCACATCAACTGTGCTCAAGGTGGGTATTTTAACTCCCGTGTGAGGATTTTCTCCCCTTCCTTTGAGCAAGCTGAGGCTGCCTTGGCTGGAACCTCGTCGGTGATGCCCGGTTCCTCCAATGTGCTCATGATGAGGAGCGAGACAATGACGACTATGGCCTTAACATTGGTCGGGTCATCCGTGTCACACAGTCCGTTGTTCTTGCCAGGGTTTGGTCCGCGTCGGCAGGCCCCTCCGACAGTTGCTCCGGCATAGGCAGTAAGTTAATCTTGACCCCGATCTACACCCCTCCTTTGGCTCCGTTAGGGTTTTCCATTTGATAGGATTCGATTTGAATCGATTTCATCCAGGCTACATGTTGTGTTTTTGCTATGAGTATACATTGCTAGCCTAGTGCTTCATGGTGTGATCTTGTTATGCCTGCTTACAATCTGTTCTTGCTTACGTCCTTACATGCATACCATTATTAGGACCGTGCTTGCTATGAATGGAATGCTATCGGTTTGAATGGAATGCTAGGAACGAAATGATTGCTACGTTTGCATGATTACTAGGACCATGCTTGTTATATGCGTAGGACAAATGTGCATGCATGATCAGATTAGGACAAATGGCCATTGCAATTGGGCATTCACATGATAAGGGAGTGCACTGATCATGACGATTGCAATTGGGCATTGGCGTGATGCACTAATCATGGCAATGACAATTTCCTTAAATGATGCACTCACCCTAAATAGTGCATCATCGCAATTTCATTGGCCTTTGTTATGATCAAGGCCATCGTTGTCGACTGCAACAACATGTTAGTCACTCTGGTCTTTTTAACTGACAAGGTTGTAAATATGGAGTAGGATGGCGTGATCAAGAGATGCATCTTGTCGTTGGCATGGAGGACGTTGAGGACATTATCCTGGCGAACATGTGGCTTAAGGGGAGGATGTGTCTCGAGGATAACGGAGATTACAAAGCCTCTGGGGATTGGCTGCAGGCAAAGGCTTGTGCATAAGCTAGCAGGAAAGGAGCCACTAAGGTTCTACGTGTCGATCAACGACACTGAAGACATAGCCATGCTCGTCATCCCGAAGGCCTTCTAGCCGGTGATGAAGAGGTGGCTCGTCTCAGACTTCAATGCATCGTTAAGCTGTCAGCGAACAAGTGATGCGAGTTCTAGGTGTAGGTCTAGGAGCAGATCGTGCTACCGAGGGGTTTAGCCTACTTCTGCACGAAGCACAGGCTCATCCCCGGCGACCTTCTCGTTTTCAAATTGTCAAACCTTGGCTTCCAGGTCAAGATCTACAACGTCGCTAACTCCATCCTTTGTCGGCACAGGCGTGCCAAGCACATCTATCAAGGCAACATGGCTCGCACGATCTAGTCCTCTTGTATGTCAATCCTTGTTAAACTGAATATTTGCTCAGGGAATAATACTATGATGTTGTGCAGGGGGCTCTTGTTTAAGTGATAATGTACAATGTTAATTGCGTGATAAAATGTATGAGTACTGCTAATTGTGCGCATGTTTGGTATGTGATATATGTTGCTGTGAAGTGTGGTGCAAAGTGGCTTGAAAGAGGCGAGCAGAACAAGAACTGCACACAACCAAACAGTTGTGATTTGCATCTGCTCACCGCTAAAACATAACAAACTATCAAACAATGTGCACAACATGGTTTTTGCTTGTATTACATCAACATATCCTAGCTGAGCCACTGATGCATGATGCAGAGAAGCGAGCATTTCCCCAGGCCAAGCCTACACTTTCGACACAACCTAATAAAACCATACTCGCCTCATCACCATCACCATGAAGTTTGTTTGGATGGTTGTGTATTTGTGTACGGTTCAAGCGGTTTGCTATGATATTTCTATGTGGGTTCCTATTGCTATCAAAAGTAAAACTGAGAAGAATATTCTTCAAAAAAAATAGGACCCTAGTAAGTGTCACATGTCAGATACGAGCACATGACAACTCCTAACATTTTTGAAGGCAAGTTTAGTTCCTGCATGACCGAAATTGCCATAAAAAAGGTCAGGGGCGAAGTGCCATGCACCTAACGGATGACACTTATATTTCAGAGAAAAATAACTGAGGACAATACTAGTACGAAGTTTCTAGTTCGTCGTAGGTTTAGTGTTCCATGATAGCCCCCATTGCCTAGCGCCAATTGCGCCCATCACATCAGAACCTTACGATCATACCAGCACAAGAGGACCTCGGCATGACAGGCAAATTCCACCAAAATCATGATTGAAACTTCAAAACAAAGAACGATGACAGCATAAACAACTTACCAATAAGAAAAATAAGGGGGAGCTGGATCCATAAACACATACACAAGACCCAATAGTATGCTGTGCAGTTTGTCAGGTTGACGGCATAACGAGGGACGAAGGTCGGTGTCTCTCAAGTCCAAACAAAACCCATAATCCAGCCACATATTTGATGGCATTACTTTGTTGACGTATGAACTTAAAATATTAAACTATCATCTACTGAGTGTTGATTAAATAGAAGTCATCACAACCAAGGTTAGAAAGCCCATGTCATGCAGATGCAGTGTTAAAGAGCATAGTTACAAAAGATGAAGGCTACAAGAATTTTCTACTGACAATTTAACATTGGGCAATATACTATTTCCCCATGAATTATCATGAATTTCTGCCACCATAATTGTCAAGCACGCTTACGCCTCAGACCAAATAGCTGCAGAAATAAGATGAAAATTGAAGCATTGGTCATATCTACAATCTAGAGCGAATACAATGGAAGTGCTCCAAAGAAGTATGGGCAGAGGATATCGGCAACTGTGTCAGGAGGAGCAGCTAAGATTATACTGTCTACTATATGCAAGAGAAAATTTACCTGAAAGGGGCATTGCAGAATCCATCCAATGATTGGAATCTGATATAGGAAGGCTTGGATAGGAGCCCCGTAACCACTGCCAAACAAAAGCAAAGTCAGTATCAACCAAGAAATGAATATTAGAGAAATGGTTTGATGTAGGTGATGACCTGAAGAGGACAAAAGATCCATACAGTTCCAGGATTATACCAGCAACAGGCCATCTGACAAATAGAAGAAAGAGACCAAGGAAGAAAGGTACAGATCCCTGCAGAAAAAATAGCATGCCCTATTTAACACATGGAACTGGGAGAGACACCAATGTGGTCAGCATTCCACTGATAAATGAACAAGACAAATAAAGAGCACCACGATATTGCATTGAATGAACGAGACTAATAAAGAGCAACATGATATTGCATTGAAAGGACAAGACTAATAAAGAGCAAGATGATATTGTACTGTCGCCGAGAACATTCAAATTTTGCTCGATGAATATAGTTGTCTGAAAGAATGTGATCTGTTATGTACACATGCAAGAAAAGAAATCTAACTTCAGTAAGCAACGGATAAATAATAATATAATGTAGCATCACACTTTACCCGATTACAATTTTAAGTATGAAGAAGCAGAAGGATAGCGCCATGTATCTATCCAAATGTTGAGTACCTTAATGTTTGCCTTCTTTGTAAATAGCTGCCACATAGATTGCCAACCGAGAAGGAGGCCTACTCCAGTCAAGAAGAAAATCTTGAAGAAACAGGATAGAAAAGAATAAGGTGACACTATGATCTCATTTGATAAGGAGCAACGAAACTGAAGAAGGTTTGGTGTATTGTTGTATCATACATTACCCAGAGCCAACAAACCCCTGTCGAAGAAAAGGATAACACCTAGGAACGAGAACAGGATGCCAAAGCCCACCAGACCTATGCCAATTTCTACATTGAAATATGATCATTAATACTCAACTTACATGTGAAAAGAGGAAAATACATGATATCAGAAAATAGGAACAGGTGCCACGCTTATGTAACATGAACTTGATAATCATCGCATATACTATATAATGGCTCCTTTTTTTCAATGCAATTATATTTGCTGTTCTTAAAGCCCTTATGCAAGGTGTAACTTCAATCTGAGCTCGGGCTCACATAAAGCTAGCTAATTAGAACAATTCTCGTGCTCCAAATATTTATAAGACAACTAAGACATATAGATAACCGAGTATTATGTGCATTTGCTAGCATTATTGGTCCATCCTTTTAGGCACAGTTTGCGGTTGGTGAACTATATTGCACTCAAATTGTTTTACAGCTTGTTGCAATAAAACAGCCATAAAAGCAGTAATAGGTTGACTAACAAAATGTTAAATAGGCAAAACCTGGTTAGGCAAAAGGGATTACAATCCACCAACAATGCCAAATACCGTGTTGGTGCAGAACAACAATTGATCTCATTTTTTTATGAAACTTTTCAGATACATAGTTTATTCTAACATGTACATGTCAGAATTTGTTACAAACTTTTTGAAACTTCAAAACACACCGGCCAAACATTTCGAAATAACAAGAGCACATGTGCCCAGGAGAAGAAAATATGCGTCATTTCTCCATAGTTTATTCTAACATGTACATTTCAGTTTGGTTCAAATTTTTAATAAATTCAACGTGAGAAACATTGAGACGTATCTGAGCCAAAGGGTGTGCTAGAAAAAAGAACTGACAATATTTTTATTTTATTAAACCCTTGCAGTCCATACACCCCCTCTTCCTCCCAAGTCATGTAACCACCTCTGAAACTGGCACTAAAAGTTCGCCACATTTGCCCACCAAAGCAAAACCACCAATAAAAAAATGACATACACAGTTAAGCTATGTTTTAAAGGCGTCCCTAAGGCGACGCCTAGGCGACGCCTAGGCGTCAAAGCGCTCCCCCTCCGCTTTGGAAAATCGACCGCTTTGGGCGCCTAGGCGTCCAAAGCGCCCGCCTAGGCGTCGCCTAGGCGCCAAAGCGCCCCCCCTCCCTAAGGCGGTAAGGCGTCGCCTTAAAAACATAGCAGTTAAGTGATTTGGCGTTAAGGATAATGCAGGGGTTAATATGTAGTTCTCAGTTCTGGGGGTTTAATGGACTTACCCCAAAGATCAGGAATTATCTGGATAGTTTTCTAACAATAATGAAGTGGTCATATAACACTCAGTTTTGCCGTAAATAGGACAGAAAATTGTCAAAATACTATTGAAGACATCCAACAGTCAAGATGCCATTGCAAAGAGGGTAATTGCCAAACTACCTCGCAACGAGGTGGTAAGTGTCCTCTTGCAATTGCTAGCAACAATTTTATTCCAAAATGCACTACTAAACTCAAGGTGGAAATGTCAAGATGAGGTCAAAAGAACACCTCCAAGTTTTAAGATAATCCTGAAAAATCCTAGATGCACATTATAGCATGAAGAGTGAAGCTACAAATGCGTTCATGTGTACACTAAAAAAACAGGGTGGTTGGTCTAAAACATTAACTGTACATGTATGCAGCTTCCTTTAAACATCAATACACACATAAATTGGTGACTGTGGACCCAAAAATGTATAGCTACGAATTTTTCTAGAACATTCAAAATTTGGAAATATGCCCTTCGAATTTCGTAAGAGCAGTACGTATGAATGGTCATTTAACATTGGTATCCATTAGGTCTTCCAGAGTTGTAAAGACATACTATTACACACATTGGCAACAGTACTTTTACAATTTCCATTTCAATGATATTTCCTATTTTGAGAATTACACCTAAAAGGAAGGGAACACGGTAGATGTACCCGGTTTATTGAATGTCAAACTAAGAGCATGATTGGTTTGCTGCCAATATTTGGCTAGCCAAATGTTGGCAATACCAAGACTTATTGGCAACTTTATGTGAGATACGCAAGGCAACTCGGTAACCAACCAATTAGTGGCCAATATTTGGCACAATGCCAAACATGGCATGCCAATTTTTGGCACCAAACCAATTATGCCATAAATCAAGTAAGTGCTTTGGTCACTTGCAGTGAGTATTAGTCCTAAATGAGAGCAGAACTTTACTTTTGATCTCACTGATCTCGTAGGCCATTGCACCAGAGCCTGAAGATATTAATACAGTTTCAGTTCACTAGTCCACCAAGGCACCAACTGAGCCTACAAAATTTCAAATACGCATACATCAAGAAGGGTCCAGATTTCAAACCTTCCAAAGAAATATAACCATTAATCAAAGAAAGGAAATTTGGTATGGTTTAACTCCAAAGTCACCACATTAGCAGAGCACCAAAATACCCATCTCGAAAAACCCAACTACAAATGCTCACTATAAAAAACGTTTCTTCAAACTCTTTTTACTCTTCCTTTTGAGCTAGGGATATTCCACTCGGAATAAGGGCGGTTTCACAAGGGCTGTGTGTGCCTTCCTGAGGAGATGTTGGACCACAAAAAGACAAAGAAGCTAAGGCCTTGTTCGGTTGCATTGGGTTTGAGGGGGATTAAATGAGATTGTGAGGGATTAAATCCCCTGTAAGTCATATTCCTCCCCAATCCCCTTCAAACCTCTCCAATCCCTAAATGTGTTTATCAAATTCATCCAACCTTGCCAACAGTTAAGTCACCATGACAACAAACTTAACTGCACATTTTCCAAAAGTATTAAGGCAGAAAATTTTGGTGATATTTTTCTTAACTGGCACTTAAGCAGATCTATGGTGGTACTATTTCACAAAAAAAAGTCAAATACAAACAGAAAAGATATTATACAATAACTATATTATTTCTGAGTTAATGCTCCTAACAGGTACCAACAATCTATCACAACTTGTGATGGAGGGGAACAACAAAATAGGTCCATATCAGAAAGTGAGGATATACAATGAGCAATCCACACCTGCACATAGATCACTTAGTACCAACATTTATTTCTACATTTGGAAGAAATGCAGTGCTGGTTTGCAGGAAATTGAGGTGTTTAGAACAGTAGCACAGCGGCGCTGATGCCTAGAGTACCTGATGCATTAAATTTAAACAAATATGGAAATAACGCAAGTTCCATAGCCTAAGGATCCCTACCCCTTCAGACCCAAATTTATAATATTCCCAAACTTGTGAAGAAACAAGAGTGCGGCGTTTGTGTGCTCGAGCTCCATGGTGCCCTTCTTTTCTGAAAAAAAAATCAAAAATTGTATTTCAAAGTTTCAAAAATTCTGAAAAAAAAAACTACACGTTCATATGGATGTATACTATATGTGTGCAAAATTTAATGAGAAAATACATTAACACGCGAGCTACACAATAAAGGGAAACTCATTGATTTTTTTATAGTGAACACACACACACTGTTCACTGTTTTCAAAATCACAACTCTGTCATTTTTGTGTAGCTCACTTGTCGCTTCTTAACGTATTTCATCATGAAAATTTACATAAATGCAGTATACATCCATATAACAATGTGGATATTTTTCAGAATTTGTTGAAACTTCAAAATACGTTTTTTGAATTTTTCAAAAAAAAAATCGGGTTCCATGGAGCCTGAGCACTAAAAGGCATTTCTGCAGAAACAATTGCTATATAAAAAAATACCATCTGCTACAGAAAACTATGGGAATCACACAAGACAAATAACTTGCAGTAACAAACTCCAAGAGGAGCAGAGTTTAACGACCAATCTTCACAGATATAAGATCAACTAAGTGTCAACTAATCTCCATGTCCAGGCTTCCGATGCAGTCACTAGCTTCTTGCAGGAGAGCGAGCTACCGGAGAGTGATTCTGCCACAGCAAATAGCTAGGCACTGGTCTGGCATATTACCACAGATCTATTTCTCTAGAACATATATACAATCAAATCAGAAGAGCTACAGGCATTTTACTTGGAAAAGTTACACCTATATGCCAGGTCAGTAGACGCTGAGCCAGATGATTAAGTCACCACAAAAGTGGCAGATATTAGGTGCCGCGCCTCTGTCCATGGTTCCCCATTTCCAACCCACTGCCGCACAACACAGCGCGCGGCTGTGGGCTTGCCTGGGTGAGTACCGAGGAGCTCGCTTATACGGCGCCAAAACCGCGAAGGGAAGTGGCAGCTCGGATGGTTAGAAACTTCGATGGGGTGGAAACGGCGTTGCCGGCGCGTAACGAGACCGAGACACGTGGTGCGAGGGATTGTCCCCAACACGACCACTCGTAGCACGGGCAAGAAGAAGCACACCGCCCGCGGTGGCGGAAATCTCGGCGCGCATGGAGGGAATGGATCGGCTGCGGGGAGGAAGCAACTAGAGGACTGGGATTAGGGTTTATTACCTACCGATGAAGCACGGATCTCACACGGTGTCGCTGTGGTAGACTGGGATGGGGGTGGGGGTAGGAGATCGCGCGGCGTCCCGGCGTGCGACAGTTATGAGAGGGAACGGCGTCCCCGCGCGGTTGCCACCGGTCGCCGGCTCCGATGGTGACCGGAAGAATGTCCAGGGACGAAGAGAACTGAGAGGTAAAGCGTTTTGAAAAGAAAAAGGGAAAAGCTTTAGCTCAAGGGAGCAACTCCAACAGCTCCGGTAAAAATAGTTTTAGTTTTTTTCTAGGGGAAATCATGCCGCTTTATTTAACCAAAGTTAGGAATCTCGTCTGAAATTACATCTAAGATAAAGTCTGGTGGTGAGCCCACCCAAATCTCTTCTCCCCTACCCCTAATTTTGCTAGCTTATGAGCGGCTACATTCCCGGAACGATGAATCCATGACACCTTGGACTCCTCCATAGACCGCAACATCTCCTTTATCTCCTCCACCCAAGGCCCGACAGCAGACAGATTCTTCTGCGGGTCGTTGAGCATCCTGACCAGAGCCAGACAATCAAGCTCGACATGCACCCGCCTGAAGTTTAGATCATTCGCCATTCGAACAGCCTGTCTGCAGGCCAACACCTCAACCATCTCAGGATCGGCAATGTTTGGAAAGAAGTGGCACAGCCCTGCTCGGAACGCCGCTTGGTGATCGCGAATGACCGCCCCTCCTCCTCCTTTCTCCCCATACCTGGAGACCGCGCCGTCGGAATTGATCTTTACCCATCCAGCAGCCGGTGGTACCCAGCGCTGAACAGTCTTTGGCTCCGATTGTGACGCCCTCATCTCGTGAGATGGTCTCCACTCTGTGACCTGCACAGTAGTTGTTATTTCATGTGGCGGTGTGATCCTTCGCCCGTTCCTTGTCTCGTTGCGCGCCACCATAGGCTATAGGCCGCCTGAAGCATCACCTCCCTCTCGTCACCACTCGCCCGAGCAAACCAGTCAAGTAGCCAAGATGCTATGGCTCGCCGAGTCTCCGTATATTTCGGTGGTTCCTCCAAAACCAGCCTGACCTGTGCTCTCAACATCTCCCAAAACATGACTGAATGTTGGCAGCCCCAAAATCTATGTATGATGGTCTCTTCTCGGGCGCACACAACACAAAAAATGCCCGGCTTGATCCAACGACAATGGAGTTCTGAACCCACAGCGAGCCCATTGCGGATCATGCGCCACATGTGAATTTTAACCTTGCCCGGCACACTCGTATCCCACAACGCCAAATATCCTTTATGCATAGCCACCGAGCTTGAGGACGCCGGCTGTCCGGTCCTCGCCCTGTTCAGAGACATTCGCAGATGGTATGCCGACCTAACTGTGAATACCCCATTACGCGTAAAGTTCCATGCCAGAAAATCATCAGCCTCCGGTCCCCCAATAGCGATTTGCTTCACGTCCCCCTCATCCTCCATAGTGAACATTTGATCCACCAGCTGCTCGTTCCAAGACATACCATCGGGGTTGAGTAAGTGTGCCACCTTGGTTATGCCATGCATGTAAACTTGCCCCAGAGGTTTAGTGCTCCCGCTCCTTGGTATCCACGAGTCGTGATGGATGTTAATATTGACACCCGAGCCAACTCTCCATATCAGGCCTTCCCTCAGTAAATCCCGACCATGCAAAATGCTCCTGAAGGTGAAAGAGCCCGAAGCAGGACAGGAAGCGGACAAGATTGAGTCATCTTTAAAATACCTCGCTTTAAGCACTCTAGCGCATAGAGAAGTTGGGACTTGAAGGATACGCCATGCTTGTTTCGCCAACAACACTTGGTTGAAAGCCTCGGGTTCACGAAACCCCATGCCCCATCCCTCTTACTCGCACACATCTTCTGCCAAGCGACCCAATGGACCCTTCTCTCACCATTCGTTGCACCCCACCAGAATTTGGACGAGATTGAAGTCAGGTTTCGGTACATCTTCTTCGATAGGTGAAAACAACTCATGGTGTAGGTCAGTTGTAACGCCCTCGATGCGGCTATATCTCCCACATGTCGAAGCATGACTTAGAGGCATAACCGCATTGAAAGAAATGTCGCAAGTGAGGTAATCTTCGCAAACAACCCATGTAATACAATAAGGGAAAAGATACATAGTTGGCTTACACTCGCCACGTCACACAATGCATAAATATCATTACATTCATCCAATTACACTCAAGGTCCGACTACGGAACCAAAATGAAGATAAACCCCAAATGCAACATAGCCCCCGATCGCCCCAACTGGGCACCACTACTGATCATCTGGGAAAGACACGTAGTAACGATGAGAGTCTTCATCGAACTCCCACTTGAGCTTAAACGCATCACCTGGAGCGGTATCATCGGTCCCTGCATCTGGTTTTGGAAGTAATCTGTGAGTCACGGGGACTCGGCAATCTCACACCCTCGCGATCAAGACTATTTAAGCTTATAGGTAAGGTAAAGGTATGATGTGGAGCTGCAGCAAGCGACTAGCATATATGGTGGCTAACATCGCAAATGAGAGCGAGAAGAGAAGGCAATAGCACGGTCGAAACAACTATGATCAAGAAGTGATCCTAGAACAACCTACGTCAAGCATTACTCCAACACCGTGTTCACTTTCCGGACTCCGCCGAGAAGAGACCATCATGGTTACACACGCGGTTGATGCATTTTAATTAAGTTAAGTTTCAGGTTATCTACAACCAGACATTAACAAATTCCCATCTGCCCATAACCGCGGGCACAACTTTCAAAAGATCAAATCCCTGCAGGGGAGTCCCAA